GCCCTGGGTTTTGACAACAAACAAGGTCAACAGAATAAGAAGCAAAAGGTGGGTGTGGTTGGATGACCAGACTTCTGGTAACATGGGGGTGTGGCCTAATATGCTAATGAGCTGTGCTGTCAGGGTGTGGCCTAATATGCTAATGAGTTCCTGCTGTTGGGTATGGCCTATTATGGTAATGAGTTCCTGCTGGGCTTTTTCTACAAAAAGAGCCCTGCTTGTGTGTGTGTAAAGCTGACTTATGGTGACCCCATGTGGTTTTCAAGGCGACAGACGTTCAGACGTCCTTTGCCATTGCCTTGCCCTCTGCATAGCAACCTTGGACTTCCTTAGTCTCCCATCCAAATACCAACCAGGGCCAAACCTGCTTAGCTTTTGAGATTTGATGAGATCCAGCTAGCCCCTGGGCTTATCAAGGTTAGGGGGATATACGTTTAGGAGAACCCATTTAAAAGGATATTTTCCTGTACATACAAGAACAAAAAGTTTAGAATTGAGCATAGCGGTCGTTTGGTGTTGTTTTCCCCCCCTCTTGGAATCTCAAATGCAGATGTAATTAAAACCATGAGTACTTGCTTCATACCAGGAGTTACTGCACAACGTTATAGCTACACAAACGTTGTTAAAAGGCTTTAGGCCTTACGAAGGTTGCTCAAGAAAGTCAGGGAGTGATTGTGAAGCCTGGTTGCTGCAGAATACAGCTGCCGAGCTTCTAACTTGGAACACGTTGATTTGACTGCATTGCAGTTCTTTGGAAACACTTCCCTTGGTTTCCTGTTTGTTTCTGGGTACAATTCCAAGATCTTGATTCTCACCCTAAAGCTGTTCCCAGCTTGCGACCTATGTCCTAAATGAACAGTTTCTTCTACTATTAACTTGATTATCTATGTATTTGGAAAATTTCTGTGTCGCCTCTCCAGGGAACCAGTCACGCACTCTCAGCCTGACCTACCTCACAGGGTCATTGTGAGGATAAAATGGAAAAGAAGAGAGGGATGTAATCTGCTTTGGGTATAATACAGGGCTATTTTTGGGCAGGAACGCACAGGAACGGAGTTCCGGCTGGCTCCCAAGTTGGCCACGCCCAGCAGGAACTCATTAGCATAATAGGCCACACCCAACAGTAGAAACTCATTTGGATTGGCTACATTAGGGGTGTGTGGCCTAACATTCAAAGGAGTTCTTGCTACAAAAAAAGCCCTGGGTTTTGACAACAAACAAGGTAAACAGAATAAGAAGGGAAAGGTGGGTGTGGCTGGATAACCACACTTCTGGTAACATGTGGGTGCGGCCTAATGTGCTAATGAGCTGTGCTGTCAGGGATGTGGCCTAATATGCTAATGAGTTTCCGCTGTTGGGTGTGGCCTATTATGCTAATGAGTTCCTGCTGGGCTTTTTCTACAAAAAGAGCCCTGGAAATAAAGTAATATTTTTTTTAAGATATGTAAACGGGCAAGAGGCAAATGAGTGCTTAATATTTCACTCTGTTATCATTGTTAATCAGTTACTAACCCAGTAGTGGATAAAGATATTTGCCAGTCAGAAAATATAGACCTAAAACTTGTGTCTCCAGGGAATCGCACATTTGCATCCAAAGCTCAATTTGGGATTAGTGAATTATAGATTCTAGATATATTCAAGCAAATGAGCAGAAGAAGAAGAGAAGAAGAGATTGGATTTATACCCCGCCCTTCACTCGGAGTCTCAGAGCGGCTTACAAACTCCTTTTCCTTCCCCTCCCCACAACAGACACCCTGTGAGGTGGGTGGGGCTGAGAGAACTCTGACACAAACTGCTCTTTTTCAAGGACAGCTGTGCCAGAGCTTGTGACTGACCCAAGGTCACATCAGCAGCTGCGAGTGGAGGAGTGGGGAATCAAACACGGTTCTCCCAGATTAGAGTCTGCACACTTAACCACTACACCAAACTGGTTCCTTTACTTAATAGCTCCAAATAGCTTGAAGGCCATTCCCCCCCACCAACAGTATGCCATGAGTAAAGTCCGCGTTACGAGATACTATTTTTCAGGTATGCATTATGCTATTGCAACCACCATAAGTTGGTACAGTATAATTTTACCTGTAGGCTACTGAATGGAGTTCTGGAACGGGCAGCAACATAGATAGGCTACCCTCCCCCCCACATAAATAAAAACAGGAGGATGTCTGGAAGGGTTGTGCATGTTTAATATGTTAGGCAAATATCGTTTACATTTTTAGATACAGACACTGCATTTAGAAAACGCCCAGAATTAAAAGAAGGCAGATGCTGGCTGTTCAGATCTAAAAAAAGGAACACCACTAGGCAAAAACAACTTACAAGCAAATAAGCAAGTATATAATGATCAAATAAGCATAACAGCAAGTGTAATGTAAATCAAATAAGCATAACAACAAGTATGATATAATGAAATGTAAATCAAATAAGCATAACAACAAGTATGATATAAATCAATAGGCCAAAGTGCAAAGATAATAGAAACAGTCAGAGTCTTCTCTAGCATAGAGGCAATATTAAAGTCCAAATTGGAATGCCAGTCATCAAATTTTCTGAGCCATCAAAAGCTTCTGAGCCATCAAAAGCCGACACGTAATCCGGATGCCTGAAGCCGCGTTTCGAATTGTTCTTATTCAAGTATGGCTGTAATGGGACCCAGTCTCAAAAGCTGGCATGTGCTAAGCCAGAATGATCAGTCAAGGAGGATTAAGGACCCTGTTTCTATTATCTTTGCACTTTGGCCTATTGATTTATATCATACTTGTTGTTATGCTTATTTGATTTACATTTCATTATATCATACTTGTTGTTATGCTTATTTGATTTACATTACACTTGCTGTTATGCTTATTTGAATCATTATATACTTGCTTA